CTGGATCTAGAACGCTAAGTGGCTTCAAAAGTGATGCTTGGTAGCGTTTTTGATTTTTCAAGGAAAAATGCCAAGGCTACACTTGAAAAGGGTGTATCCACCATTGATGAGCTTTCGAGATGAGGTACGGAAATGATTGTGCCTAAGGTCACGCGTATACTGTTTTCTTTTTTACCTAAGACTAGCGCCTATGAGTAGATCTACTGAATCCTGAAATATTCAAAGGAATTCTTCCCGGAAAAATGATTTTATCTCAACCGTAAATCACTAGCTTGGTACCCATTGTTCACGATAAGAATGAAAAGAGAAAATTGCATTTGTTTTGGTAAAAAAAATTCGAAAAAGAAGACGCGTTCAAATTCCCGCCGGACATCTGTCACAAATGCTGGCGGCGGGAACGCTTCCACTTGGTTCACGGAGTGCTTCACTAGAAACTCTTTCTGACCTTTTGACTTATTGCACTAACATCTCACACTTCTACTGCATCCTATTCCATCGATCGTTTTGTCTCTATTCTCCAAAATACTTTAACCCGGTCCATTCAATGTGTCCCTGATGCGTGGCTGCCCATGTTGTCTCTTTTTATCACAACTGACATTCATGTTGGTGAAGAAAGCAAGAATTCTTCGAGAAGGATTCCTCTGAGGCATTATTAATTCTACGCGTGCGAAGTAATGCGGAATTGGTTTCACATGCAGCCGTGTAGACGGGAATCGATAACGGGAAGAAAAATTGTATCAATTGGCTGATTAGATGCAATAGACAGCCGAGTTGGTTGCCTGTAGGTGGTGTGTTTGGCGCTGGGTGGCACCCGTGTTCGACCGTATTCCTTGTAGGCATTCTTACAGCTACGATTTTCGGAATATGGAGATCTGAACTAGGAAGGAATTGTAGTCAAGATTTCTAACCAGGGAATGCTTTAAACTTCCCATGGAACTTTGAAGGAGACCTAGATGTATCGATAGAGTCTTGAACGCTGATTACAAATATGGACACTAAAACTGCTACGTGAACTTCCTAAGAAAGTTATGAGCCTTCAAAGTTGGCAAAAAACGTTACTGAGGCGAGCTTACCTGGTGGAATCACAGTCGCCGTGGCTCTGCGCCAAAACGAGTCTCATATTCGTAATCAGGGCACCCATTTACCCTTATAGAACAAGTTCCAGGCAAAAAGCAACCGTGTTTCCACATAGGTTGCACCTCATCATTAGCGTTCTTTTGCAACTTTTAAGGCTCACAACTTTCTTACAAAGTTCACGTAGCAGTTTTGGTGTCCATATAACGTATAACAAT